GGTTTTAAGGCAGGTGTTGGATGATGAGCGACATATTTGTAAGAATTTGAGAGGCAAAAACTTGACGAGAGCTTGTTGTATGTATCCAATTACATCCTATCTCATATGAATATGCAATGAATGTTATTATATTGATGTCACAAAACGTAAGTTGGTTACTAGTCTGATAATTTCTCCTTGTGGTTTTGCATTAATTAAGATCGCCATCTTGGTTTGACGATTGGTCTTTATTCGCCACTTATTGGGTTTATTTATTCATATAAACGCTTATCTTGATACGATGCGCACATAGCATCACTGTTCACATAAAAAAATATTGTCTGAGTAATAGCTTCGTAAATCAATTTTAGCGGTTTATGAAAATAGATTGTATCACCTCATTTGCATTTTCAAATGAAAATTAAAAAAAAAAAAAAAACATAAATTCATATATCGTCATCAACTTGTTTTTAAAAGACAGATGTTAAAACGAATTGTTTTGTCGATGAATTTACATTGTAGATTGGGTTCGATTATCAACCTCTGTCTACTCGTTGTCTGACTAATCTGGTTGGTAATGATCCAGAGTATATCTATTATGTGATGTAAGCGGAACGATACGGGTGATTTCAAATTTCCGATCGTGAGCTTTCCTTTTCATGATAGTAACCTCACTACTTTACCAATCTACGGTGTTTACATATCGCAGTTGATTCGGTATTCAAGCGCTTGCTCCGTGATTGATGTCGACTGCTGACGGACAAACTCACAATGCAGGGTTTACAAAGATGTAGGTACATTGTAGATGAAGACTATGAACAGGTTTTATCGTGGCCAACATGATCTCATTGGGAAATAAGCTATTTGTTTGATATGCAGGTGACTGTTTTTCATTATGATCATTATTGTGCCTTCTTGTTTTGTCATCACTACTCCAGTTCTTACAATGCGGTCGTAACATTACTTTGATTTTACTATGGGTTTCAACGAAGCAGAATACGTTTTTCTCCCACCCTTCATAGGTGTGTCTCCCGATTTAGTCGGGAAAGATCAGCTTGTCACCCCTAGGGGAAGATAGCCTCGTGACGATTAGCACGTGTTCAATTGTGACGTCATTAAAATGCGTCATCGGTAATTGTGACGTCATCAAAAGTGAATGACAATATGCATACCCCAGAAGTGTTTTTTGTTTACAAACATGGCAGACTACTATCGGTTGAGCTGTGACTGAAATAATAGGAAAGGAGAAAAATAATCATCCCCTACCTTGAGGGTGTAACAGAGAAATCTCCGACCCTCGGGGTGATTTTTGTGGTTGTCTAACCCTCGGCAGAGCTTAGGGTAAGACAACCAAAAACATCACCCCGAGGGTTGGAGATTTCTCTGTTACACCCTCAAGGTAGGGGAAGATTTTATAAATCCTTCTGTTCTTATTCTCCTTGTACTTTTGCAAAGTTCACCATATAAATATTTCCTTTATTCATACTCTGCCCACGTTTTATTGATTTTTAATTCGAATTACAGTTTTCTTGGCACTTCGGTATTCATTTGTTGTTTTATTGCGAGATCGTTACGAATCCAACACACATATTTTATCTGACTGACTAGGTAATATAGATTCTACATAAATGTCTTTGCATGTCTGTCAGCGTGAAACACGTGGTAGTAGTGTATCCATCAATAGCATTCTCGATACTCCAGGGGTTACGCTCACTTTCGCTCTCTGCACCCCTGGAATATGTCAAAGCAAAATTGAAGGCTCAATGTGCGCCATCTTGTTGATGGGACAAAGGGACTAGTTTGATGCTTTGATGTACATCAAAATATTCTCGCGGTCGCATAACGGAAAAAATGACTGGCTTTGAGTTCAGGCGTCTCTCCTTAGTAATCTTCAAAGGACAGGTAACAGCTTAGCGATTGATCAGATTTATTTTTACCTGAGACAAATCAAATAGCTAGCCGCTTGACTTATATTTTGCTATGACATATCCAAGGGGTGCGGAGAGCGTAACCCCTAGAGTATCGGTATTGCTACTTCTGATCGGTCAACCATACATTTTACACAGGCTAGTTTTGTTTTTACTTAAATCATAGCATTGGGGTGATTAAAGAGGTAAATTATATTTATAACTGCCTTTTAGGTAAAATAGACAGTTTCGCTGCTAAAGGAGCGAAAGTGTGGTTTATGAATGCAAATTAATAATATTTCCGTGTCGGCTTTAAGTTCAAATATGTTGTCTGATAATTTGTGGGTTTTTTGTTACTGCCTTTTGTAAAATTCATTTTCCACGGGGAAATGTTTCCTGTATCATTCAAAAAGTGAACTGTGGCAAGCTTCTTCCGTCTTATCTCCAGAGAGTAAATTGGTCGAAATTGCTGCACGGATCATTTCCTTTCTAACAAGTAACATTTACAGATCTTTATTAAAATTTACTATCTTCTAGGTTATTTCTGAAGCCAAATTAACCTCATTAATATTGTATGAACCTTTTTGGAATGGTAGTCATCGGCATATCAAAATCCCAAACGTTCCATCGATTCTTTAATGATCGGCCATTTCCAATTGAAGTAGAAGGAAAATCTCATATGATATTTTATTTGCTTAAATCAAACATGCGTTGGCCTGTCATTTTCACAACCTAAAACGATCCCTGGTAATGCATTTTCAAGAGGTAAAATTTGTAAATATTGTATAATTTCGGGGGGGGTTCATAAATGAATATATTCTGTTTTTAGCTAGTATGTCTGTGTCAGTAGTCTAAAATGTTGTGTTGTATCTACTATTTTTGTTATGAATATTAAATTGTATGTATATGAGGTCCTAACGGTCTTATTGACAAAAGCCAAATTCGGTCACAAAACCACCCAAACAGATGTAATTGTATACAAATTACAGACGTGACCGTAAGAAGCAATGTGTCAGACTTTTCTGACACATCATTCTCCGCTAGAATATGATGACAGCGAAGATAAAAACGCCGACTTGTTGAAACCATATTGCAAGAAATAGCGTGAAGGCAGTCTGTGTGTCGTCACGGTAATTACTACATGGCCGTCCGCTTAAACTCACTGTTCAGACATTAAGTGTAATTTTCTATTTAAAATCATCGTTCGCAACAAGTACACACAATGAGGGCAAAGATAAGCATCTGTGAACATCACAACCTGTTGTAAACCCTCAAACCGTCGTGATTTACTGCTCGGGTTTGTAGCAAAGAGGGAAAGCGTCAGGAATGTTCTACAATAATGGTGGTGTTGGGGAGAGGGGGAGGGTTCTTCATAATAGCGCGTATTAAAAATAAACAATTATATATCATTATTCCATTTCTGTTAGATTATCGCGAGGATATTCTTATTTGTATCTTACTTGGTTTTTTCGTTTTGCTTTGACAAGCAGGGGACGTCTACATAATAGCGCGTATTAATACAAAATAAACAATTATACATCATTATTCCATTTCTGTTAGATTATCGCGAGGATATTCTTATTTGTATCTTACTTGGTTTTTTCGTTTTGCTTTGACAAGCAGGGGACATCTACATAATAGCGCGTATTAATACAAAATAAACAATTATACATCATTATTTCATTTCTGTTAGATTATCGCGATGATATTCTTATTTGTATCTTACTTGATTTTTTTATCTTTCTGCTTTGACAAATAGATTAGGGTATGAAATGACCAATGTCTTTCAAGGTATTGTCATAAGGCTCCAACTATTTTCGGCTACAATAGGTTGACAACGAATGTCTGAGACGTTATATATATCTAATTTCATCAATGTCTCTTATAGACCAACATTTCAAATCTACAGATGTTTTAGTGAATATACCACACTGTTTAGCTCGGAAATCATCAGGTTTTTTTTTTTTTTTTTATATCGTTTCTTGGTTTATACTTTATTGAAAATAAATAACTACAAAAAACATAACCTATTTTTGTCACGTTCTATCTATTACGTTTCTTATCAACTTACTGTAAGGCCAAAAATATCAAAATTGTATGGTAAATACAAAAAAAGTTACTAGTTCAATATGTTATTATCAGCATTATATTTGAATATAAATTATGAATATATATGTAGGCTGTCCATTAATTAGGAAAAGATCTGAGCACACACGTAAACGTTCTGTATGTGTTTACTTAAAGCTCGTGTGTCGGTGGGGTTTTTTGTACAAAAAGAATTGTATACTTGGCGTTATTTCTTATTTATTAAATAACGCCTTACAATTTACATAATGATAAGAAATTTTATGCATTAACGATACAACCTGTAGTGTTGCAAAGTACACATAAACTGCTAAATTTTAATTTTGTGTTATAAAACCCTGCTCATGCTTTTCAAGCGAGATAACTCTTACAGACTTGCAAATGTCATAGAACTAATATTATATATTATATAACTATTTAAAGCCAGTGCGAACTTTTGACTTGCCTTATCTACTTTGATAGCTTGTTCAAATTAACATATTTGTCGAGTCAATTTCGTCGTCATCACACTTATGAATTACTCAATTATACTCAATTTAATGTCTTTATAACAATTACTGTAAATTATGAAATTTCTATTTATTTCTTAACTTGTAACATGTCGAAGTGAAATTAGAGTAAGTTATTAATCTAAATGGAATTATCAAACCCGCTGTTTTAAAACGGATATCGTCCAACCAAATGCTGATCTTCGCAAAAATACACGGCCCGTTATCCCTGGCCCAGCACTGGCCAGTACACAGTTTATTGACCACTTGATCCCAGGGGACCCTACAGGGAAACGCCTAGAAAAGACCGCTTTTCAACTAACAATCAGCCATTTGCAGTCAACATGGAAGAGTAATTTACTGTGTGTTATTTAAAAGAAATTAAGCACATTTTTGCTTGACATATCATCTGCGTAATTAGTGAGATTTAATGCTTAACGCTTGTTTCCCTGCCTAGCGGCTTACTGTGTTTACAACAAAGTATCATAAACTGTCCTACTTTGCGTTTCGAGTACGCATGCGCAGAGAGCACCTGTTAGCTGATTACGGGTTTGCTGTGCAGGAGGCCGCGGAGAGGACGGAAAAGGAGATATATTTTGGATGAATCTGTGACCACTGAAAGCGATTTGTAAGACTTAGAGTGTAACCTTATCTATTGGTTACTGTATCAGAATGATACAACACATGGAAAAGTCGGAATTTGACGCTCAATTACAAAGTAATACATCTAACTCCGAGCATGGCAGCAACTCGAGTCAGGGGGAAGGGAATGACGAAGGTGAGATACGCAGTCGGAAATGTGCACAAAATATTTCACATGTCATATAATTAACTGTTGTTTTTAGTGCAAAGTAATTATTATAACTTTCTATTTGTGTTTGCATACAAAAATGGACAAATGGCGAGCTGTCATGGATAAAATCGGGCGTAAACGAGTTCTCTGGCATGCCGGCTTGTGGAGCTTTGCACCGAATTTGTTGACATGTGGTTTAGTATTTGAGGCTCCTGAGGGGGAAATAAAGAGACAAATCTTGTCCATTAGGTGCCCTCTCAGATCTGACGTATGATTATATATAGACAATAGTATATCATTATGGGGTTGTCAAATAATAAGTAGATGATTTCTATTCATTATAAAACGTTAGAAAACATTTAATGCCGTGATATGAAAATATGTATTTCATGAGTTACTAAGTTATGAATATTCATAACTTGAAAACATCAATAACAACAGAGTGTATATTTACGTAGGTCAGAGGGTGACAACCTGATAATATGAAAAGATAGATATAATGAAAATGTTTCAAAATGAATCTAAATTTACTATTAAATAAAATACTGTTGTTGTGGGAGAGGAATATATGGTCATCTGTCTTAACATCTTTCGGGGGGAAAGATAAATGATTAGATAATTGTCACTCACAGTACCAGTTGATCAGGGTTTTAAGATAATTTAAACTGAAATAGTATTTCTACCTTAGCCCTTTCACCACTGTAGACCATAATAGACTCATCCAGATCAGTGTATGGTACAGTCTACTAGAGTTACATAGGGATGAAAGGGTTAAAATGACATGTTAGGGTAACTGTCTGCCTATAGTGGCTTGTGTTAAATGTTACTGTCCCTCAGTGTTACCAGAGTTTGGTACCTATCCTTCAGTGCTACCAGTGTTTGGTACCTGTCCCTTAGTATTACAAATATTATGTACCTGTCGCCCAATATCAATAATTTTTGATACCTGTATGACCCCAAGATGTCCAATGTTCATTATACCTGTCCTTTTATATGACAGGGTTTGTTACCTGTCCCCCATTATGACCAGTGTTTTGTACCTGTCCCCTTATATGATCTATGTTTGGTATATACCTGCATGTCCCTCAATATGACCAGTGTTAATGGTACCTGTATCCAAATATGACTAATAATTGGTACCTGTCCCCCAATATGACCACTAGTATATACCTGTCCTCAAGTATGACCACTTGTTTGTTACCTGTCCCCTAATATGACCAATACTTATTACCTGTCCCCCTGTATTACCACTAGTTTGTTACCTGTCTCCTTATATGACCAATGGTCGGTACCTGTACGTTTATCTGTCAGTGCTCATTTCCTGTCCCCTGATCATGACCAATGTCCGTTTCCTGTCCCCTTATATGACCAGTGTTCTGTACCTGTCCCCCAATTTTATTTTAAGTTTGTTACCTGTCCCCAGTATGACCACTAGTTTGGGACCTGTCCCCCAATATATCAAAAACTGGGTACCTGTCCCCCATGCCAGTATATCTTAAGTTGGGTTCCTGTCCCCCATGCCAGTATATCTTAAGTTTGGTACCTGTCCCCCAATTTTATCTTAAGTTTGTTACCTGTCCCCAGTATGACCACTAGTTTGGTACCTGTCCCCCAATATATCTAAAGTTGGGTACCTGTCCCCCAGTATATCTAAAGTTGGGTACCTGTCCCCAGTATATCTTAAGTTGGGTTCCAGTCCCCCATGCCAGTATATCTTAAGTTTGGTACCTGTCCCCCAGTATATCTTAAGTTTGGTATCTGTCCCCCAGTATATCTTAAGTTGGGTACCTGTCCCCCATGCCAGTATATCTTAAGTTGGGTACCTGTCCCCCATGCCAGTATATCTTAAGTTGGGTACCTGTCCCCCATGCCAGTATATCTTAAGTTGGGTACCTGTCCCCCATGCCAGTATATCTTAAGTTGGGTACCTGTCCCCCATGCCAGTATATCTTAAGTTGGGTACCTGTCCCCCATGCCAGTATATCTTAAGTTGGGTACCTGTCCCCCATGCCAGTATATCTTAAGTTGGGTACCTGTCCCCCATGCCAGTATATCTTAAGTTGGGTACCTGTCCCCCATGCCAGTATATCTTAAGTTGGGTACCTGTCCCCCATGCCAGTATATCTTAAGTTGGGTACCTGTCCCCCATGCCAGTATATCTTAAGTTGGGTACCTGTCCCCCATGCCAGTATATCTTAAGTTGGGTACCTGTCCCCCATGCCAGTATATCTTAAGTTGGGTACCTGTCCCCCATGCCAGTATATCTTAAGTTGGGTACCTGTCCCCCATGCCAGTATATCTTAAGTTGGGTACCTGTCCCCCATGCCAGTATATCTTAAGTTGGGTACCTGTCCCCCATGCCAGTATATCTTAAGTTGGGTACCTGTCCCCCATGCCAGTATATCTTAAGTTGGGTACCTGTCCCCCATGCCAGTATATCTTAAGTTGGGTACCTGTCCCCCATGCCAGTATATCTTAAGTTGGGTACCTGTCCCCCATGCCAGTATATCTTAAGTTGGGTACCTGTCCCCCATGCCAGTATATCTTAAGTTGGGTACCTGTCCCCCATGCCAGTATATCTTAAGTTGGGTACCTGTCCCCCATGCCAGTATATCTTAAGTTGGGTACCTGTCCCCCATGCCAGTATATCTTAAGTTTGGTACCTGTCACCCAGTATATCTTAAGTTTGTTATCTGTCCCCCAGTATATCTTAGTTTGGTACCTGTCCCCCATGTCCATATATCTGAAGTTTGGTATACCTGTCCCCCATGCCGATATATCTGAAGTTTGGTACCTGTCCCCCATGCCCATATATCTTAAGTTTGGTACCTGTCCCCCATGCCAGTATATCTTAAGTTTGGTACCTGTCCCCCATGCCCATATATCTGAAGTTTGGTACCTGTCCCCCATGCCCATATATCTTAAGTTGGGTATCTGTCCCCCAGTATATCTAAAGTTTGGTATATGTCCCCCAGTATATCTTAAGTTTGGTATCTGTCCCCCAGTATATCTAAAGTTTGCATTGGTATCTGTCCCCCAGTATATCTAAAGTTTTCATTGGTATCTGTCCCCCAGTATATCTTATGTTGGGTATCTGTCCCCCAATATATCTAAAGTTTGCATTGGTACCTGTCCCCCAGTATATCTTAAGTTTGGTATCTGTCCCCCAGTATATCTAAAGTTTGCATTGGTACCTGTCCCCCAGTATATCTAGAGTTTGGTATCTGTCCCCCAGTATATCTTAAGTTTGGTATCTGTCCCCCAGTATATCTTAAGTTTGGTATCTGTCCCCCAGTATATCTAAAGTTTGCATTGGTATCTGTCCCCCAGTATATCTAGAGTTTGGTATCTGTCCCCCAGTATATCTTAAGTTTGGTACCTGTCCCCCAGTATATCTTAAGTTGGGTATCTGTCCCCCAGTATATCTAAAGTTTGCATTGGTACCTGTCACTTGGTATGATCTCGAGCTCTGTGCCATGGTACCTGCACTGGTGATGTGAATGTATGTGTGTGATCCATGTATGGTAGCTGAGCATGCATGTCTATATAAATAATGTATGGTATATATATATATATATATAGATATATGATTATCTATGCACAGTCTATGAAGTTAACAGTAACAGTTGTCTCATCCATAGACAAAAATTTCAAATTAGATTTTGGATTTTAGGAATTTTTGTTTGACACTTTCTTTTGGTTTACCACTTATTTCACACACTGTATATGTACACACACATGATCATCTTATCACAGTACGGTGTATACAGTACCATGTATTGTATGTTTCCTTGCTTGTGATTTGTGCAGAAAGAATACCTGTTACTCAAAGTTATACAAGCTGTCCTCGATCTTTTCGATTTGTGACCCAATAAGACAGCTACATGTAGATCCATCCTTACTGTGGTAACATAGAATCAAGATACATTTAGCGTATTTGTAAAAAAACAAATTTCCATGACCGCATGTATGTAGAGTATATCACACTCTGAACTAAGTAGATTTACATCTCTGTGTATTGGACTAGAAAAGTTCATCTGTACTGGTATATATACCATTTATCTAGCCACAGGATGTATAAAGTTCACGAAGTTCACACCTCGGTTGACAATTGCCGGTCAATGTCCTGAGAGAGTCAAATATTTGTAAGGAAGCTTACATGATCAGAAGAGACAACCCTAAAAACTGTTAGGAAGAAATCTTACTAAATTAATGCAGTTTCCATTAAAATATATATATATACCTTTGCAACAAATTCAGATGAGAATATTATTGCACGTCCATAGGTGATGATATTGATTATAAGTAAAACTTGTCCGCAGGAGGTTTCGTCTTATGATCAGTCATAGAAGACCGCAGTAAGTGTGACTTCTGGCGCCTCACACAGAGATTTTCGTTTGCTTAAGTGTCAAATTTGACAATCGGTCAACCCTGCCTTGGAGTTAACCTGTTAATATAACGTGTGATATCATTTGTTTAAAATAACTTCTACTGCTTATTTTTTGTATTGATCGCAAATGGATACTCAATCCAAACAGTATGATAATTAAGCTGATATTTCTTTTCTCCCCTGGGAGGTCTTTACATGTCCAAGCTTTGCTGCATAAATATTTCTAGTACCATATTTTACCTAATATGCACCTAATTTTTTTTGGGGGGGGGGTTCTTAAATATGACTGCTAAGTACGTAAAAACCTTAATTATCGTTTACCAGAAATATGCAAGTGTCATTTGGGGAGGGGGGATTTACATAATTTCAATTGGTATTGAAAATGGAGTGAGAGCTTATTGGGGGAGGGTTGGTAGTGTAAACGAATTCATTAATTCCTTTCTGAACTTTGAAGCTCATTCCTACTCAAAAATTGTATTTCTAACAAACAATTACTTTGAAAATTGATGTGTGATCAAACAGTTAATGGTTTTACTTTTGCTTTTCTACTGGAAAAAGCGTTAAGGTCACAGGAAACATTGACTAAAATAAGCAT